TTAAATTATTTTTATTACATTTCTTCTGAATGAGCAACATGTTCTGAAAATCCCTATGCCATTCACAGCAGCCAAAGATTAACACATACACACACACAAAAAGACTGAATACATATATGGACACCACACAGGCCCTGATTAAAACTCCACTCTTAAAATCATTTATGCCATGTCGGTTTATTGAACTCCCAATTTAAGACCCTTTAAAGAAGGCTAATTTCAGAGAGTGGTGCTTAGGATAGATGAAAATCTGGGTCTTTTAAAGTGTCTAAGGTTTCCCAAAATCACTCGTAACTTCTGAAAATTTAAGCAACAGTAAAATTCATATGACATTAATAATGGAATCAAGATCCTTGTGCTGGTCCTCCAAACAGCTGGGCCTTAATTCTGTGTGCAGTCCTGGCTGTTGGTGTTGTAATTGATCATCCTTTTCTTATCCATAACTTTGAGTCTAAACTTGGTCAAATTATTTTTATAAGGTGTTTTCTTTTGAATAAGAAACCTCCCCACACTAACTCCTACATGAGCCAAGCATCCAGTCTGCAGTCTTTGAAAACATTCCACTGTGTTACTCAAACATGCTTTTATACAAGACAAAAGCAAAACCATGTAATGTAGCAATAATATAATTAATTTTTATTAATAGCTTTTTTGTTTATTTTTTCATGCAAACAGAAAGCACTTTCTCCTGCACTGAGATTTTAAGTGACAAATTTAAACACACGTCACATTCTACACACATTATTGATAAAATACTAATATCAGGCTTGATGCTTTGGAAACAATTAAGAAATCGTGCTTCCTGCTCACTCTGTGCAGTTTACAATGTAGCTTGAACTACAAAGAAAAAAATAAATATCTGTAGTGATTCATAATGGACTGATATGAGCTGGAAGTTCTGTGTTGCATTATAGAAAGCAAAAATTGAAAGTGCCTATTGTGTGCATCCCAACTTTTAATGTCTAAACCCTTATTCCTGACTACCCTGTGATTTGACAAAACTTGTTGTCAGGCCAAACGTTGTGGTTAAGGCCCTTCTTTATTTTAATATAAATGTAAATTAAGCACAGCAAAGCACAGATCTCCTCAAATTAAGATCACAAATTTTCTCCTATTTTAATAAAATTCTGGTTTAGTCCCACCATTATACATCTGACCAGGAAAATGTTTCCATCATATCAAATAATTAAAATTACACACTTTTATATACAACATTTGCTCTCAAAATATTTAGTTGTCCTGTGGGCATTTCTGGTTTCTTAAGATGTGCAAGGCTATCTGTCATGCGTTTTCCCCCAAGAATTGATCAGCTGCTCCTTGTTGCTCATGCCTTTCTATGCTGTTGGCAAGTTGCATTCAGGGCCTAGTATTTGTGTGTGGTATTTTTATTTTCTGCTTTCATGGACTTTTTTAATGTCTTGTGGGATCTTCTGCTGTTTCCACAATACCCCAGTTTTTGGATGGTGGAAAACTAAGACTAGAACAAATCTTGCATTATTTGGCCCCTAGAAATAGCTTTCAGAGGCAGTAAAAAAGTTCACAGAAACAAATAAAATACAGCACCTGACCTTTGTACCACTGGATACAATGGCAATACTTCTATTGATTTCAAAGAGTACAAGATTGTACCACCACTAATGGAGCTTGAACTCCAATTGTATTTTTTTCCATTTTTAGCAGTTTATTCAGGTTCTTGTAGAATCCAAAATCCCAACCCTATCACCAAGTACCGTTAGTTAAGGGTGTTGCCTACTGTAAACTCTGATACTGTGGTCACTCTCTAGTTCCCCTCTAAAGTATGATGAATGTTTGAATTGTGCCTTTTATCTCATCAGAACTCCAGTTGTTTGGTACTGCATGATCATAAGCTTGCAGTTCCATTTTCATCCTTTTCTTCCTTCATTTTTACTGTCCACCATTCTTTCCCACACAAATCTCTCTTGCCCTTGCTCCTTTTTGCCCCTGCCCACCAGATCCAGCATTCCTCTGGTTTCTGTTATTTGACAGCTTCTGTTTTAAGATTACTTTTAAAGATTGTAAATAATTAATTGTCAAATTCTTTAAAAAATGACTTCATGAGTTGCAGTTGCTGGGCAGGAACTGAATCCAAAAGGCGGTGTTCTTACCAGGTGCTTCATCCTTGGTTAGCCCAAGGGGCACAAGAGTTTAGTATCGTAGGCTATGTCTAGACTGCAAGCTTTTTTTGGAAGAAGCTCTTCTGGAAGAGATCTTCTGAAAAAACTTCTTCTGAAAGCACATTGAAAAAGCAATCTGCTTTTTTGAACGATAGCATCCACACGGAATGGATGCTATCTCACATTTAAGATGAGATTACTATGGACGGAGTGGTCACCAGGGCACTTGTGCTTTTTCTTCTTCTGTCGAAAGAACTCCCTCTTCCCCGTCCACACACGCCTTTTTTCGAAAGAGCTCTTTTGGAAAAAGGCTTCTTCCTCGTAGAAAGAAGCTTACTAATGTCGGAAAAAACCCTCTGTTCTTTCAATTTTTTTGAAAGAATGTGATTGCAGTGTGGACATAAGTGCAGTATAGACACACCCCTAGTCAGCACCAATGCTGGCTGACTTCCAGGTCAGTGCAAAGCACCAGCTATATCGCCAAATAATTTTGTACTGGAAAAAAATCTCCCATTGAAAAGAATGGATGTAAAACAGCGTTTATCTGTCAATTTGCATCTAGCAGTTAGCTATATGTTGCATGCATCCAGTAAATCATTACCAGGCTACATAAAAGCAAAGCCTGTTCCTCCTGTGGAATCAGACTCCTATTGGAATGTTTTACCACCTACCTGCTATTGAGATATACACCTAACTATCCATCACAACACTTCTGTTGAAAAGCCAATATTGGCCAATGAGTTAAGCAAAGAGCTCTTCCCCCCTGCCCTGGCATAGTTTTGCAAAAGTTGTTTTTAGGAATAAAAACTCTATAACATGCAAATAGTTCCTAACCTCCTGTTTGGCGCTCTCACCTCTAGTCTTCCTACTTTGCAAAGCACAACCACTTTGGGGAGTGTCCACAGTTTGAAAGGATGGATTTGTTTTCTCACTCAAGTTTGAACTTGAACACTTTTCCCAAAGCACACTATTGAGCTTGTTTCCCCTTTATTTGCCCCAGCTGCTCCTCTTGGTTTTACAGTGCCTGATAGTGATCCCACTGAGATCAGTAGCTTAAGCTCCTATTAACTACAGTAAGAATAAGCACACAAAGTTTGATCAACTGGCATCTATAATGTAATTCAGTGCCTTGCGTATATTTCAAAGTTTTTCACAATGAACACAAAAACCTGGGTTAGTAATTTGATCATTTGTGTTCTATGTGTGTAATACTGCCATAACACTATTGAAAATCACCTGAACAGTTTATCCTGCTTGACCTTGATACCAAAGTCCAATCCGATATTAAATGGACACTATTGATTTAAATACTGAACTCGTAGATTTATGGTTCATCGCAGTGGAAACATTTGAGTTGAGGCTCAGGCCAAATGGCCCTCCTGGCTTCCTCTTCATCTGGCCCTACCTGTGGGTTGAGGACTTGTTCAGAAATAGAAGCCAGGACTCCATAGTCCAGCCCTTAGTCATATTCACAGATTACAGATCTGACCTCCTGAATATAAAATAGTCCATAGGAGTTCCCTAGAAGAAGAAGAATGCAGAATCCATGATGGGCTGTGTGGTATAAATGTTTTATGGGTGCTGGCTTGGGATGAGTTGCATTATTCATAAGGGGCAGCTCCAATTCTCGCTAATAATTTTAAAACATTTTATAATTATGTATTCACCTAGCATAGAAAGCATGCACAGAGCATATTAAACACATGGAATGTTCTCTGGGCCTCTGCCCAAAAGAATGACCAGTCTAACACACACATACAATAATATATGGGTCACATTTCAAGGATGAGCAGATACAGTGGTCACTGTATTTCTGTATCCCAGTGAAAATGAAAACCAAGTAATGGCCAGACTATGGCTGTAAACTGGTGGGTTGAATTGGCGATAGCTGCCAGAGACATTGGAGTCTGCCAAAACTCTCATTGACTTTCGCTGAGCCAATAGTGCCTGAGGCAGTACAGTTTTTCCTGACTCTCATTGACTTCCGCTGAGCCAATATTCCACTCACTGTGCCTGAGGCAGTACAGTTTTTCCTGAAGCATTGGGTGAATACGCACAGCAAGGGCATCTGCTACTAGCATAGTGCAGTATGTGCTTCCCTCTTTCCCATGCTAGCCAGTGTGAAGGAATGATGAAATTGTATTGCTCCTCTGAGCAGTATAGCGCCATCCCCATCATTTCAATGTAAAGAGCCAATGACTGGCTGTATTGAGAAAAGTTGAGTGGAGTACAACTTTCCTCACTTTCTCTTCATCCAGCCTCTTTTGTGTGCCTACACAGGGCAGTGCACAATTCTGAAGATAGATAGTGAAATCTGGAAGATATAGGGTAAAATCTTGCCCCACTGGAATCAATGGGAGTTTTGCAATTGACTTGAATGGGGCCAGGTTTTTACCAATAAAAGATAAATATCTACCATGCTAGAGAGTTTGAAGTTTTTATCCTGATCTCAGACATGCAGAGAAGCTGATTTTACAAGATGGTCAACAATGAATGACAGTGCTTTGAAATCAAGATTGAGGCTTTAATGTGCTTTAAAAAAAGTAAGTGAACTTAGTATGACTATATTTCATGAGTTAAAAATATTATGTGCAATTATTTCAATTTTTTATTTCATCGAGCACTTTAATTAAACTTTCATAAAAGTGATATTATAAAACTCCCATGAAAGTATGTAAAGACCAAATGAAATCAGTTCGTTTTCAGTGCCTTTGCTTTCCTGAGATAGCTAAAGTGTTACTAAATGAAGGACAGATTGTGAAGATGGGAATATTTAAGGTGAGCTGGGTGACAATTTATAATGGTTTCATGAAGTTCTAAAACAAGCAAAAGTATCAGAACCAGTTGAAAAGCTTATATCCTTACCTGACTTTATACAATCTGAAGACTTGCAAACACCATCTGAAAAAAAGTATGGGGCAAAAATTCAAATCTTTAATTTCCATTTGAAAATCTTACCGTATAGTACTCTAAATTTTAATTTCAGTGTAACTGTCATTTCAGAATTGAATTTAAAGGCAATGCAGACTGAACAATACTAAAATTGTAATTCATTAAGGGCCTGATCCCTTCAAACTTGTATACAATTGAATATAATGCTAACTACTATGTCCTTTTGGTATCAATGGGATACTCACAATTGTTAGTCAACTGGTAAGCAAGTGGGAATCAGGCCCTAAGATTGCTAACATCTTCATTTCTTTAGGGTCATGCACTGCTTTTGATCCTTCTGATGGAATTCTTATTGACAACAATGGGAGCCACACAGCAGATCAAGAGCCTTAGCTAGGAAAAATGGACTTTTCATGCTGGTACAGTAATAATGTACAGAAAGCTTTCCCATTTCACTTATGTTTTCCCCAGCATATTTTATATGCTATAATTTATTTACCCAGTGAAACACAGTCTGTAAACTACAGAATTAAGAAATTAGAAGAAAGAAACATTCTGTTTCTTGAAGTAAAAATTGTTGGAAAAGGAATGTTATAGAAAATCAGAACTTTAAATGAAATATTAAATTTGAATGAATTTTAAAATCTCAATTGACCATGTTATGATCTTTAGGGACTTTTTTATGGTCAGCTGCCAGTAAATGGCAACTGTTAATCAGTTAATTTTATACAGCATACTTTATATGATTACAAAAAGTATATCATAGTAGAGACAGGCAATTAAATTCTTGGCTGAGCCTCTCTAAGTCAAATATTAAATTGTTTTACACTTTAACGTAGAATTTGAACCTACCTCACTTCAATGATTTTATCTTATTCTACCAAGTTCATTATATTCTTCAAAACATTTTTTGCAGAATATTAACAACTTTAATATTCAAACTGCAATGAAATAAACATTCACTTACCATCATATGTTGCATACAGGGCTATCATTGTGATAGATATAATAGTTAGAAGAATTACTACAACAACTAGCCCTATTTCAAGGGCGCTCCATCGCAGTTTTTTCTTTGGTTTTGGAGTATTCATTTCAGTTATATCCATCTGGCTTTCTGACTTGCCCATAACCCAGATTCTGAAAAGGAAAAAGCTAAATTCACTGAGCGCCTAATTGAATCATATTTCCTATACACATCCAGCCGTTTAATTCACCAGCTACTAGGATGTTGTTTGTGGTCAGCTGTAGCAAAAGGGGGGGAAAAGATTGTTTTGTTTACAAATCTGAGTAACATCTTAGTCATGAAATTAAAGCAACTATAACCACGCAGCTGTTTTTTTGCCACTCACAGTTCACAGGACAGTTCTTCTTTCACATATATAAGACACCAAAAAGGAAAGAACACCGACCCATGCTTGGTTTTAACAACCTTATGATTTAATCATAAATCCTGGTACAAAAGTTCACAGTCAAGCAAAAGGTAACTGTTAGTGTCTGAATAAAAATTAACTTAACATTGTGATCTTTAATCTAATGCCAAAGGTCAAATATGTTGTTTTTGCCTAAGTGGCATTTAAAAAAAATCATTTCAGCAATTAAATATTGAAGTGTTGAGGTTATGACTAAACAGAAGCAAGAAAAATGGGCTTTGTTCTGGACTTAATCCCACTCACACTGAAATTAATTGAAGTCTTTATGTTAATATTAATGGAAGTAGGATTAGAACTGCTGATCTAACTTTAGATGGACGTAAATTAGGAATAACTCCAACGAAGACAGATAAAACTAGTGGAAGTGAGATCAGAGTATTTGCAGGTGATAGGATATGATTGTGGCAATAGACCTTTTGTTTGTATTTCTGTGGTAGGATATGATTATGGCAATAGACCTTTTGTTTGTATTTCTTTAAAGGCTGTTGTTGATTTACCCCTTATAGTGCTCTGATATATCCACTCATTGCCTCCTTATTCAAATATTGTCCCTTCATTACCTCTGTTCCTGCGATACTGGGTTAAATTCTCCTGGATGCAGGGTAATTTTCCCTGCCACCATAGAATGGAACTCTTGACAGTCACAACCCATAGAGTTTTTTCTTAAGATTGTTTTATCAGGGGGTAGAATTCTTCCCCTGCCCTTTCTACTCTACTGGGAAGAATACTGGATTTCCAGGAGCAGGAATATTGGCTGTCCTCAAACCCTCTGGTCTCACCCCCCAAAGTAACCAACAAAAGACACAGCATTAAGTCTGTGCCATCAAGTCCTCCTGCCTCCTTCACCATATCCAGAGGGACCCACCTGGGGCATCTGACCCAGTGATCCTCCTTCCCATTATCCAATCAGGATTAGCTGGAGGCAACCTTCTCAGCCTCTTGACATTATCATTCAATCAGCCCTGAGGCTTGTACTCTATCTATATATTATTTGCTCTATTGCTATTGATGGTTGGTCCTGCTTCATCTCTGTCCTCTCCTAGCACCAAAGACAGTCAGTTGCACAGCCACACATCCTTCTTCCCCTTACACATTGTAATTCTCAGTCATTCCTACTCTTTTCTACCTATGATTTCATGTTCCTTTCCTTTTAATTTTAAGATCTCTGCCCCCAAAACCAATCCTCAATAATTAGTATTTGTAATTTAAATAAAATCATGTAAGAGAATCCAACAACCTAGAACTAACTTCACTGGGGGCTATGACAACAACAACAATAATAAATAAATGACTAGGATGATATGTCCTCCTATTGTCTCCCAAGTTTACTTACAGTTGCCAGACAGCACAGTGCTTACAGGCTAACCTGATTCACAGCTGTTCCCCTAAGGGATAGTTCTGGAACCACAGAGCAGTGAGGCATAGGTCTTCTATAGGTGCCTAGAAGACTGGAACCCAGCATAGCTTGTCTAGCCCCTAACCTTCCAAACATATAGGCCATGTCTACACTGGGAAATTATATTCAATTTATTAAATTTGACTTATAGACTCCTAATTTAACAAATTTGAATTTCTGGGTCTTTCGACAGGTAAGTATTGAAATTAGTCTGAGACATGCTCTGTTAATGCGGACAGAATAATGGAATTACTCATAGCCCCAGGAAGCACTCTGGGGCGCTATCAGAGGCCCTCCAGGGGGCAATTAGTTTGAATTAGTGGCACTGGAGCATCCACACGAACGTTATTTTGGACTTACAAGTTCAGAATTAGCATTACTCCTCAAGAAAAGCAGGAGTACAGTATTTGAATTCCACAGTCCCTTATTCCAGAATAATGGAATTATAAGTATTGTGTATGCACCATTTACAAATTTGAATTTAAGGGAGTTATTTTGGACTAAGGTTCTACAGTACACCAGATCAAAGAGTCTTACCTCCCAGTCCACATGGGCCTGTTTTGAAGTGAATTACAGGCTTTCACCAAATAAGTTATAGCTCTCCATACATAAGAGTGGAATCCCATAGAAAATGTATACACAAATGCTTACATTTGGGAGAACTGGCCCCTGTATTAAACTGTGATATCTTATTCACAGATAAAAATAAGAAAGCAATTTAAAAGTTGTACCTTTTCACCTCCATACACAGCAAGGCATAAGAATTACTTTTTATATATATTCAGAGCTGATGAATGCTCAAACCTGTCTGAACACTCTCATCCTAAATTAGAATATTGTTCACTCTTCTGGTTTTGGATGTGTTTTAATACTCTGGAATTGTGGCTCTTTGGGTATGTCTACACAGCAGCGTTGATGTGTTTTAATACTCTGGAATCGTGACTCTTTGGCTATGTCTACACAGCAGCATAGAAAGAGCGTGTCTATACTTCAAGCCATTACTTTGAAATAATGGTGAGCTGGAGGACTTCTTACTCCTACTCTTGGTAACCCTCATTTTACTATGAGTAAAGGAAGTCAAAGGAAAAGTATTTTTCCTTCAACTTTCTGCTGTGTAGACAGTGCCAGAAGACAAGTTAAGCTATTTCGACTTCAGCTACACAATTGACGTGGCTCAAGTTGCGTAGCTTATGCTGACTTTAGCCTTGCTGTGTAGATGTACCCTTTCAGAGCTACAAGATATATTGTATCTTTCATGTGCAAATGTGCTTCTTGCAGTCAGTAAGTAACTTTTCCCCACTGAAATAGTCTTTTTGTTGCTGCAGGAGTGTTCTTATTTAAAGATATCCCACTGATTCATTCTTACTTTTAGTTCTTTGTAAAACCTACAAAGTCTGCATTAAAGAACACCTAGTAAAAGCCTCTTTATGTGTTAATTGCAGACACAACAAAAGCCTAGGGGTAATTTAAGCAGATATGAGCTTAGGTACTACAGTTTTATTATGTTTCTCTCAGTGCCCCTGTGATCCTCTACCAGCTGCTCACTAAAGCTTAGACAAAACAGACAACCATAATTATTTTGACTGACTGTGGCCTAGGTGGCACAGTGAGTTAATGCATTAGCTTTTCACTTCTGGATGAGTATGTTTAAAACTGATTTATAAAACTGATTTCTGAAACGAGCTACATGTTATCAATCAACTCTCTAAAGAACTGCATGTGCGTGTACCAAACATACCACATGCTTCCATATGAGTTAAAACTTATGGCCTGAGGAACTGAGGAGAAGACACAGCTGGAGTGTTGCAATAATAGTAGGATAAAATTAACAGAGATGACTAGCGAATGCCTTCAGCCATCATTCAGATAAGTATGAACTCTTGGGCTAGGGCTACTATCGCCTCTACACTTTATCAGACAAGCAAATGTATACCTGCTGCAACAGCCATCACCATTTACAACTGCAGTTTGTTTTTAATTGAAAAGTGAACATAAAAGATTTGTTACAGTCATACCACTTTAGCTTGTAGGGTCTGATGAAATCATAGCTCAAATAGATGGCAGTTTGATTGGTTATGGCATACATACCCTGTAAGCTACTGTCCATCCTTTGCATGAGATGTAAAACCACACTTGCAAAGGTGTATAACCAGAGTCAGTTGCAATCCTTTCAACAGGATGACTTATGTAAGTAAAGGATGCAGGATAGGTTTCTTTGAACACTGAGCTGGATCTTTCAGGGTGCTTAGCTAGGAGCTGGATGTGCTCAGCATCTCACTGGTGGCACTAAGATTCTTGCAAGTTAAAATCCACAGTGATTTAATATGGCCTTTTATGAAATGTGTAATATCAACTTTTATGTAAAAGTCATTGTGAAAAAAGTAACCAAATGCCATCAAAGCATTATCAGCATTGTTGTAAATTACACTGGAGTCCAATGAAGGAAAACCTGGTACTTGAAAATAAGATAGGTATGTATGTTTTCATGATGTCAGAGGTAGCAGGAGGAGAGCTTAACAACATAAATCTAGATTGTGTTAACTATATGCCAAATAAAATTAAAAATCACAGTCCATTGAAGACTGTGTCACCATAACATCAAAATCTATAACATTAAAATGAGATGGTACTACAAGAGGCTACAGGGCATGTTGTTTGCTGAAGAGAAGGGCAGCTAAGTAACTGTGCACAAGGAGGTGAGATAAGAGTTCAGCAAACTGAATTATCTCTGTGACTATCTCTCTATTTCTCCAGTTGCATCTTTTCCCTGCCCTCCTCCGCCTTCCTGATCCCCAGAACCTCTCCCTTTCTGACCCCACTTTCCTCTTTTCCCCTTCTCTCCACATCCAGTCTCCCCTTCTCCAGTCCATGTGCCTTTGCCCTGTCTTCTCCCTCTGCCAGTCCCGCTGCCCTGTTATCTCCCCTCCCACCCCTGTTGTCCTGTTTCTCCCCTGCCAGTTCCACTGCCAGTTCCACTTTCTGTCTTCCCCCCTGCCAGTCCCCCTGCCCTGTTTCTCTCCTGCCAGTCCCACTGCCCTGTCTCTCCCCTGCCAGTCCCACTGCCCTGTCTCCTCTCCCCTGCCAGTCCCGCTGCCTCTCCCATTTTCTGTTTTTCCCTCTGCCAGTTGCACTGTCCTGTCTCCGCTCCCCTGCCAGTCCCTGCCCCTCTCTTTCTCCCGGGACTCACCAGCTGATGTTCGGCGAAGTTCGGCGCTGATGTAAATAGACACATCACCGACCAATGAAAAGGCGAAGGCAGCCTTGGGTGTCCCCGGCTGAGCAGCCGCCAGGAGCCGGCGGGAAAGCGGCTGGGGAGGCAGAGAGGGGCACAGGCTGCTCCCGAGGCGCTAGGCTCAGACTCCGGCTGCAGCACTGCCAGGGGCGAAGAGCTGCGGCATCTCCAAGACATCCAAGCCCAGCAGAGCGCTGCCTCCTTCCCGCACCGGCTGCGGTGGGAGTTTGGCGGCGGCTGCAGAGCCAGGCTGGGCTGGCGGCAATAAACCAGCCCGTGTCTCCTGGCAGCCGGCGGAGCAGTTCTCGGGGGAGCCCGCGACCGATCGCACAAGGGGATGGGGCAGGGACCCCCCACCGTCCCCGC